TATTTTATAGAAAATAAGTAGTGTTAGGAATTAACTATATAAGTAGGTTGTAAGAATTAATTGTATTATGTTTAAGATAAACAGTTCAAATAAAAATAGCTATTATACTAACTGATGTAATTGTATTAAATTGTGTTTTATATTTCGGTGGGCGGGAAAGGTGGTTTGTGTGGGATGATTTAGGTGTTGTTGTGCGTGGCTCATAATAAAATTATAATTTTTTTATTGTATATACAATGTTATAGTCTTTAATAAAATAATTAACTAAATAATTTTAAAAAATTGTCCAAATATTTTATTCAACACCAAATGTATGTTCTGTCATACTTAATACTTAAATATGAAAAAGATGAAATTAAAGGACACAGGTTTAAATGAACATATTTTTGAATGTAATTGAGATATTGGCTTGAAATTTTTGTAAAGGGTCGAGAATTTCCATATCTAACTAAAAAATGATATTAAGGGATAAATATGGACTAAATTGTTGTAGCTATCTGCGACCCTATTAAAATTTTGATATAAATCATAGTTTTAGAAATTAAACAAATATGTAATATATGACAAAATCTTTATTTATGAACAAAACTCAATGAAATTTTCAACGCTTGTTAAATTTGTCATTTCAAATAAGAAAATGCAAAAAAAAAAATTGAAAAGGTCAAAGGGCATCCCGCAATTCCCAAAAATAGGAATGAAAATCCCAAAAATGGGATTTTTTACATTATAACCCATAGGGTCCACATTTACTTTTACTTTTGGAGTAAATAGAAAACATATTGAGGTTTCCAAAACTGCTTTCAGTTTTCTGATCCCAGCTTTGGGATTTTAGAACATGTCGCCCAAAGTTGAAGTTTTGATAAAAAATAGGTCATATTCGGAAGGACGCAGTGGCAACATTTTCAAAAAATAGGACAAGTTTTTTACGCCAAAGCGTTCTGCGTAAAGATACCTTTTAGAAAACTATAAAATTGTTATATGTTCTTAAAGAAAATTTTATTTTATTAATAAAAGAGTTAAGACACATTTTTGGCAAAAAAACGGCAAAAATCTAAAATTTTTTGAATTTTTAAATTAAAAAACGTATATTTTTGGACCTGTAAATGATATTGATCTGAAATTTTTTGTATATTATTGGAAATTTTGTTGTCTAACTAACAAGAAAAAATTGAGTCCATTTGGTCCAAAATTACGCCCGGTATTCAAAAAAAAGCGGATCAAGGTATGGTAAATTTTGTATCACTAAATTTTTAAATGCCTATAACTCGGATATTGTGAGAGATAAGTAGTATGTCCAAGCATGTTTTTTCAAGATCTCGTTGAGCTTTCAGAAAATATAAAAATCTTTGTATTTTGATGAAAAACAAAAAAATGGCACGAGTTTAAAAATTTTACATGTCGTAGGTACCCTACTTTGAGCAGCCACAGCGCCGTCCTTGGCTACGCTCACGCCAAATTTTATCCCGATCGGATCAGCCGTTTAGAAATGCCAGATATATTTCCAAAAAATTTCCATTCTGCCCCACTGTGCATTAGTATATCGGAAAAAGTATAACAGGTAGAGTCCTCAAATTTTTTCGGATCTACTTTTGTTTTGACACGGATATTTAGGACAAAAAATTAGCGGAGTATTGTAGTTAGAATTTTAAAATTTTGCACGAAGGCCTTTAACATCCATGCAGAGACTGAAAATAACGGGTCCACTTTGTTTTTATAAGTTTAATTGCTGTGATCACCATTTATAATTGTGTTTTTGCAGTTTATCACTGAGAGAAACCTTTATGTCAGATTTTTTGATAAGTGGTTGAGAGAAACCGAAAAGAAAATCAAAATAACTCGCTGCAATTGATTTTTATTTTGTAAACATTTTTGAAAAGATCTGCTTACGATTTTTATTTTTGAAAGCAAAACAATAAATCTCAAATGTAAATACAGGACACACATACGCACAAACTATCTTCAGAAATCATAGCAAACAACAACAATATACTCTCTCACTCTCATATAAGCAAGAGAATAAAGGAATACAAAAACCAAGTGCTCAGCCAAAAACATAAGTAACAAAACAAAAGTAGTAAAGGTTATACTAAACCATTTAAGTAAAAATCATTTTATAACTGTTATTCTGAGTGATTTATTTTAAAAAACAAAAATAAATCACAATTCAATCACTTTGGTCATGGGGCCCAGTTATTTTCAGTCTCTGCATCCATGTGAATATTTGGAAGAAAAATGGGCGGACTTTCTATTAGAGCTAAAATTCTAAAATTTTGTACGAACAACTTTGACATCCATGTCAATATTTGTGTGGACTTGATTTTAGGAGCGGACACCTCCCATATGAATTAAGTACGAAAATGGGTTTTTCTAGGAATCTTTAACATCCATGTGAACATTTGGGAAAAATTGGGCGCACTATCATTAGGGAGGATTAGCACCTTCCATATGAATTAAGTACAAAGTAATAATTGGGAAACTGCTAGAGATAGAGTCGTCAAATTTTGCACGAAGACCTCTTCAGTTCCTTATTTATTTCAAATTTCATAGATCTACTTGTATTTTTAAGCCAGTAATGAGCATTAAAGTCATTTTCTTAAAGGGACCTTATACGGGGTTAAGGTTAATTATAGACCGATCCTCGTAAAATATGGTAGAGAGATTTTAGCTTAAAATTAGTTTATGTCGAATTGCATTGCGGTATTCGTATTTTTCTCGTTGTAGTCATTTTCTGAGGGGAAATTTATATGGCGTGGGGTTATAATGGACTGATCCGCATACAAATTGGTAGAGAGATTTCGGTTCCTATAGAACTTATCAGTGTCGAATTTCATTTACGCCAGTAATGAGCGTTTAAGTGATTTTCTGATGGGGACCTTAAATGAAGGGTAAGGTCAATTATGGACCGATCCCCACAAAATTTTAGAGAGAGATGTTAGCTCATACATAACTATATCGAATTTCATCGCTTTACTCGTTTTTAGGCCAGTAATGAGCGTTAAAGTAATTTTCTGTTAGGGACCTTATATGCGGGATAGGGTCATTTAAGGCCCGATCCACATACAATTTGGTGGAAAGGTTTTGGCTCCTAAGATACTTATTTGTGTCAAATTTCTTCGCTATACTCGTATTTTTACGACAATAATGAGCGTTAAAGACGTTTTCAGAAGGGGACCTTATATGGGCTTGTAGGGTTAATTATGGACGATCAACATAAAATTTGTTAGAGAGATTTTGGCTCGTATAAAACTTACTTCTGTGAAATTTCATCGCTACACTCTTCTTTTTAAGCCAGTCATGAGCCTTAAAGTCATTTTATGGAGGGGGCCTTATAAAGGGAGTAGGGTCAATTATGGATAGGTCCACATAAAATTAGCTGGAAAGGTTTTGGCTCCTAAGATACTTATTTATGTCAAATTTCTTCGCTATACTCGTATTTTACGCCAATAATAAGCGATAAAGTAATTTTCTGAAGGGGGACCTTATATGGGGGGTAGGATCAATTACGGACCGATCCACATATAGTTTGATGGAGGGATATTGGCTTGCATGAAACTTACGCGTGTCAAATTTCATCGCTATATTCGTATGTTTAAGCCAGTAATCAGCATTATGGTCATTTTCCAAAGGGGACCTTATATGGGGGTAGGGCCAATTATGGACCGATCCACTTAAAATTTGGTAGAGAGATTTTGGCTCATATAAAACTTACTTCTGCGATATTTCATCGCAATATTCGTATTTTTAAGCCAGTAATGTGCGTTAAAGTAATTTTATGGAGGGGACCTTATATGGTGGGTAGGGTCAATTATGGACCGATCCACATACAATTTGATGGAGAGATTTTCACTTGTATGAAACTTACTTATATTAAAACTTACTTCTGCGAAATTTAATCGCTATACTCGTATTTTTACGCCTATAATGAGCGTTAAAGTCATTTTCTGAAGGGGACCTTATATGGGGGGTAGGGTCAATTATGGACCGATACTCATATAGTTTGGTGGAGAGATATGGGCTTGCATGAAACCTATGTGTATCAAATTTCATCGCTATATTCCTATGTTTAAGCCAGTAATCAGAATTATAGTAATTTTCAAAAGGGGACCTTATATGGGGGGTAGGGCCAATTGTGGTCCTATGTCCGACATAATTCAGAATTTTATTTCGAAGGTCAAAAAACTGACTTATGCGAAATTTTGTGCCATTTGCTTCATAAACAACGAATTTGTGAATGTTTGAAGCTTTTTACACAATATGCCGGGGAGTACATTTGTATGGGTGCTATGTGAAATCGTTGACCGATTTTGCCCATTTTCAATACCAAACATTTCTAATCAATAAAAAATATTTTGGGAAAATTTCATCTCAATATCTCTTTTTTTGTGGACGCTATCGTGCCAACAACAGACAGACGGACGGACATAGCTAGATCGTCTTAGAATCTCATGAGGTCCCAGAATATATATACTTTATGGGGTCTGTGAACAATATTTCGATGTATTACACACGGAATGACAAAATCAATATACCCCCCATCTTTTTTGATGGTGGGTATAAAAATATCTGCTTATTGACCACCACCTTATGTGAAATTTACATTGTGAATTCGTTTTGGACTTCACCACTTCCACCATGGCTTGATCCATAATTTCAAACATGGCGCAAGTGATAAGGTGAAGTCATTTTAACAGCTGATTGTTTTTTTTGTTCATGAATATTTAGCCAGAGCTGTTAAACTCCATATAAAAAATTCTCTCTCAAAACTAACGCTATGAAACTCAATTTATAAAAAATTTCATGAATTCGCCGCAATTTGTGTGTAATTAAGGGTTGTGACTATAAGCGAAAAGTACAGTATGTAGTATGACAGCGTCGGCGTTGAGAGAGAATTTTTTTATATGGAGTTTGACAACTTCGGGCTAAATTTCCATGGACAAAAAAACTTCACCTTATAATATATACGCCTTGTTATAATCTATATGCCTTGACTACAAACTTACCTTTTAGCGGCGAAGACACATGGGTGAAAATTAAATTTATGAACTGCTTCTACAATGTACTTTTCCTTTAAAAATACTGATGTACATTGAAATAAAGCAAATTTTTTAACAAAATTGTGTTTATTTAAAAATTCTTTTATTGCTTCCAAAGACGATGAATGATCTTGAGCAAATGCATGAAGTCTTCTGTACACCAGTGCACCATCTACAATTTAAAACGATAAATACATAATGCATTAGTATTGCAGTTTTACTTTTTTTATATTTATATAATATTTATATTAAAAAGAAGTAAGCCGTGGCCGACCATACCCAGCAAAAATAAAACGAAGTACTTTCAAAAGAATAACATATATCACCACTTCAAAAGTAGCTCTAATTGAATTTTTTTACCATCTGAGGAAGTGATGTTTAAAGACTTCCGAAGAAGCGAAAATAATTCTATGTTGAAGAGATATTTTTTGTTCTTACATTTTTATGAGATAAAAAATGTTATATATGGGCTTTTGTATTAAATGTGTCTAATACCCTAATTAATGTTAATATTATTTAAGTCAAATTAGTTGTATTCCATAATACTACAATTTCACTTCCGAATAACTTCCAGAAAAAGAGCATTAAAATTACTTCTTAAAAATGACTTCAGAAGTAGTGAATTTGGAATCAAACAAAAAGGACATCCCTCCTATGACAAGCCTGTGCTAAAATCATAACTTCTTCAGGTCTTTTTCAGTACTTCCATGGAGTAAATTCTTTTTCGCTTCATTAGAAGTTATTTTTTTGCTGGGTATGATAGACTACCGCTGTTGTTAATTTTGCATTTGTGTTAGTTGTGTTTTTTCTTTCTAGCACTCTATGCACTGAACGAAATATTTGTGAAATTTTGAAGTGCTGTTTGTTGAATAATAAATGTATTATAAATTAAAAAAAACGAAACGCTTTTGTTTTCTGTTCAACAAACATTTATCAAATTTTCTTAAACAAATGGAAAAAATATAAACAAAAATATTTTTCTATGAAAAATTAGTTTTATTTGAGATTATTTAAATAATATATAATTAATTTCAAAATGGTTTGCAGAAATAATTAAAGGGAAACAAAAATCACTAATACCCCATTTACACATACACGAAATCTTGTACTTATGAGATTTCGAGCCAAATCTAGTTGATTTTAACTAGATTTTCCATACAAAACACAATCTACTTCGAAACTAGATTTCATTAAAATCTACTCAAAATCAGTTTTTAGTGATGCAACTCTGTTTTTCCCTAAATAATACGACGGTACTCAAGAAAAAAGAGAGAAAATAAACAAGTTAGAGTGCTATATTCGGCTATTCCGAATGTTAAATACCCTCCACCAGCAAGCTACTTTTTATTAAATCCCATTTAACTATCTAATTTTTAGATAACTTCGCAAAATTTTTGTTTCCGTATTGAGGGTACTAACATTTATGCATTTGACAAACTAAGTTTAATTAGATCGAGAAAAATGTATATTACTTGAAAACATTTTAATATAATGATTTATCTATACACAGAACATACTCATTTTGATTTTTATCCGGATATATTCATTTAATTACGAATTAAGTGGTAGTAAGTGATTTTCAGAAGTATCCTTTATATGGGAGCAAAGACAACCTATGGATCGATCCGAAAAAAATTCCGTATATATACAAAATACACATTTATGTCGAATTTATTCCGATAACTTGGATTGTCAATGTGCATTTGAGTAATTTTCGGAAATAGTCTTTATATGGGAGTTGTGACCAATTATCGACCGATAAGGAAACATTTTCGTATAATGATTAATATGCCAAAAAAATTCAAGTCGAATTTAACTACAATAGATTTGTTAATTAATGAAATATCTGCGTTTAGGTGATTTTCGGAGGTGGACTTTATATGTATAGGAGCTATGAGCTTACACAAAACATATTTGTGTCGAATTTTATCAAGATATCTTTATTTGATAATGAAATACTTATGTGCGTTTAGGTGATTTTCGGAAGTGGGCCTTATATGGGAGCTATGACTGATTGTGGACCGACTGAGATCTACGTTGACAGTATGATTTCTGTTCATTTTATATTTGCATGTACAAAATTTTGTGTTGCTACCGATATATTTGAGGGGGTTATTAACGATAAACTATTTTCCGGGAATATATATCTTTGTATGGGGGCTATGGGAAATATTGGATCGATTGTAAAGATTTTAAACATAATTGATCACTGCCCTGAAGAAATAATGTGATAAAATTCATCGAAATATCTTTGGTAGTTTCTGAGAAAACTTCCAAAGAATTATGAAAAAAACGTAATTTTTTCGAGGTAGTCTGAAATTTTTACTCATAACTTTTTACGTTGTGAACCGATTGCTGATTTTCAATACCAAACTGCTTAGGATAATAATAATTATTTTGGTTGTATTTGGTTGATTTCCTTTGCTTAGTTTTAACGTGAGCGTGTTTTACACAGACAGACAAACAGACAGACTGTAGTGATGGTCATGGATTATTATTTTTTTAAACTGATATTTATAATACTTTATTATTTGTTAATTTTGTTTGATCTAGTAATATTTGGAAATTCAATTTTAAAAAATTTTCATTTTTTAATTGTAATTGGATTAAAAATTTTATAAAATAAAGAAGCATTTTGCTATACAAAATAAAATAAATAAATATAAAAATAATAACTAAAATTGGCGATCCTGCCAGGAGATTTGTAAAACAACATATACATGTTATGAATCTGTAATCTTCGATTACACTAAATTAAAATTGCCTCGATGATGATTATAATTATAAAAATAAGAATTTACTACTATTTTACTTAATTAAAATACCAGTGGCCTCTGAGAAAATTGAAACAAACGAGAAAAATTGCAAAAACTTTTCATTTTTTAATTGTAATTGGATTAAAAATTTTATAAAATAAAGAAGCATTTTGCTATACAAAATAAAATAAATAAATATAAAAATAATAACTAAAAGACGGACATAGCAGAATTTCAGAATTTTATAAGGACCCAGATTATGTATACTTTGTTGGGTCTTAGATGAATATTTCTTGGTGTTACACACGGAATGACAAACTTACCCTCTATCACCACTGATAGTGGTGGAGGGTATAAAAACAAACAAAAAAAATTAAATATCGTCAAAATTTTTATAAATTGAAAAACATTAATGAAAAGTTAATCTAAAATAAATGGTAATGTTATATTTAAATATCTATTTGTTATTATAAACTAGCTATATCCAGTGTGCTTTGCTACCGTAAAAGGAATATGTATAAATAAAAATCCCACTTAACGATTTTGAAGATTCTAACTACAATAGTTTTCCAGATTTATAATATGTTACATATGAAAGATATCAAGCAAATTATTATTATTAAGTTCGCCAGTTTCTATCTATCGGCAATTTCTATCTATCTATAAAAAAATTTGAATAATATAAGAGTTTCCAAGATACACGAAATTTTGTATTTAATTCATATATGTTGTGCCATGCCACCCATTGAAAGTCCGCCCGTTATGCTCTAAATGTTCACATGAATTTCAAAGTTCTTCTAATAATTTCTCAGATATACGAATTTTTCTATTTGAGCTTGAAGCCCCCACATGAAAGTCCAAAATGTTCAGATGAATACTAAACTAATTTGTGCAAAATTTTATAAATCAAGTTTTATTAGTTTCCCAGATAAACGAAATTTTATATTTAATGCATATTGATTCATATGGGGGCTTCAAGAGTCCCAGGTGAAAGTCCGCTTTTTTTCCTCCAAAATGTTCAGAAGAATATTTAAGGTCTTCGTGCAAAATTTGAAGAATTTAGTTCCATTTGTTTTCCAGATAAACGAATTTTTGTCTTTACGTATTTTTGTATTTAATTTATATGGGAGGTGCCACGCCCCCTAATGATAGTCCGCCTACTTTTTGTACTAAATAATTATATTGACACTAAAGTTGCTCCGACAAAATTTGAGGACTCTAACTGTTATATTATCTAAAATATACGGATTTGATATTTTCTTAATATGGGCGTGGCTCCTCGCCCACTTGGAATTTCAAAATAAAAAGTAGCCTATTACCTATTCCAGACATACAGGAATACGCTGTGAAAATTTGAATAAAATCGGTTCAGCCGTTTAGTAGTCTAAAGCGTTCAAACATACAAACAAACACACATTCATTTTTATACATATAGATACAATTTTAATAAATATCCCATTTTCCTTCTAATTTTTCATATCACACACTTTTTCGAGAAATATTAGAAAAAAATGAAATCTTCGCAAATGTCAAGAAGAGTAAATGTAAACTGTCTAGATTTGCAAAAAGAAAAGATCAAGAGTGTAAACATTAATGTTGTATTTTATTCATCTGGAAGTGTACATTGTAGCCACTTCTGGACGATTGACAGACGAGAGCACACATTTTACAAAAACAGAATACATTGATTTCTAGTTTTCGCCGTCTGGAAGTATACTTTTAGAATACTTCCGCAAGAAGAGCACAAAAACAAAAAAATATAAATACTCCATTTTTTTGCGTAAACGCGAAAAAAAATAAAATAAATAATGCAGAAATTTTGCTTCGGTGATGTATTGTGTTTTGTCCTGTCATGTTCAGTTTTAATTATTCATTGTAAAACTTAAATTAGTTATTGAATTTAATATTCATAGAAAAATAGTGTAATTAATATATTATGAATGTTAAGTAGTAAAAAACAATATGACAGTGTTGTGTTAAAAATCAACTGTTAATAAACATTTAAGAAGGTTTTGTTAATTGGTGAAATTAAATAAATACCAAAAAGTAATTATTCAAGGATTATATAAATAAAATTAAAAAGTAAGTTGTCATATTTTACATTAAAATACTATTTTAGGAATAAGTTAACAACTGTTTAATTAAAAATGTTTTTATTTTAAATATTGTCTCTCCTTAATTGGTTTAGGGGTTTTAAGCATTTAAAGATTTTTTCAAGTTGTACGTTTCGGCTTTCATTTGATGAACATTGCATTATTAACCTATTTAGATTTATTTGAGTTAAATCTTACCTTTCAATATTATTTAAACTATTTGCACATTTAGGTCCTGTTTCTAGATTACGTATGATCACTTGGAGCTAAAATTTTATTTGTACTTTTACTTAAAGTATTCAAACGCTATCTGGAATCATTAT